GTCAGTGTACCTTCCTGGTGCCTTCTCCCCCGACCCCCTACCTTGGTAGGAGAGGAGGGAAGGACAACTTCCCTTTCCATGTGTCAGCATCTCTGGCTGTTGTCCTCCTGGCAGGCAGGGACACGCACTGGGAAACAAGTCCAGCAGAGAGCGTGATTCTAACAGAACCCTTTAGCAGGTGAGTCAGTATAGGTCGTCCTCTGGGTCTCATCCAAGAGTTGAGCTACACTGGTTTAGATGCCTGAATTTGTGAAGAGCCCTTTGTCAGACAGCAACTCTGGTAAAAGATGAACACCAGACCTCACAGTTGGTACCACAGATTATGGGAACTCATCAATACCAATTCTAGAACAACAGGTTCTGGGCAGTACCTATAATTATCATACAATGTGGGGTTCTGTTATTAAAGTAAGCTAAGGGTGCTAAGAGATCATAAGATGAGGAAGACCTGGGGTGGGTGTGGTGAGAGGTGGGCGGAAGAGATGAGTCTCATTTGCCTTATTTGAAATTGAGTCAGCCAAATGAAAAAGACAAAGGCTACTGGGCAGAGCAATCAGCGTAAGTGAAGGCAGAACTGTGATACAGAAAAGACATTATGACAGTGCTGGTCACCATGGAGAAAGAGGTGGCGCGGGGGGCAAGTACTCTTAATTTTAAAAAAAAATGGAGAAAATATACAAACGTGCACACCCACACCCACATTTGTGGGACCCTTAAGTTCAAGAAACAGCACGTTTGGCTTTCTTTCTGCACTAATCAATTTCCAGTGCTTCCCTTAGTCCAGAACAACCAGAGTTACTTCTGCCTCCCTCCCTCCACCCCTCCGGTGTATTTTAAACCATTAAACTGAGTTCTGATGCTCTGAGGCCCTTTCCCAGAAGGTCACAACACACTGAATTAACATTGAGTCTCCTGCCCTTCATTGCTCAGTGGCCTCAGCTCCCAGCAAAGGAGCCGTTTCCAGTGGGAGAAGAATCTAGAAACACCCACTGCCACACTGGGCGCCTCTCCCCAGCTATTGCCAGAGGCATCTCCCATAGGTATTGGGAAGATGAGCCCAATAAGGGGCGGGGGGGGGGCTCTCCAAACCACGGCAAGGCTGCTGGCTGCTAAAATAAGACCAGAGATGAGAAACGCAGAGGAGGGTGATCCTTGGCCCGAATTGGAGAGCAACGCCATACCGGCGGCTCCCCCTCACGCCCCAGCCCCCAGAGCACACCCACAGTGGAGTAGGGAGCGTTTCTGAAATCATTTCCAACCCATCACTCTTCAGGAAAACCCACCTGGTTCATTCTGTCTTCTCCGTTGCTTTTCTGTAGTTGTGTTGTTTGCTGAGCTTTCCCGAAAACCAGTCTGCTATAAATGTCTAACTCTTAATGTTATTTCCTCCAGTTCATCGCCTCCTGTCAGTGTAAGGTGTGTGGGAGGCACCACACTTGGGGGCAACAGTGTGCCCAGTGGAGCTGGTGGACCAGGGTCCTCATCCCAGAGCACCTTCCATGAGCCACGGCCCCTGTGAGGTGTTGGCTGTGTCTTTTCATCTCTCTGGGTTTTGGTTTCCTAATCCAAAGCCCGAGCTGTTTGAAATGGTCAAAACGTTTGGGCCCACGTTGATTTCTGCTGTACGCATCTGAGACATGACCAGCTCCCTGGCCACTGGGCTTTTTACTGGAAGCCTTTTGGGTTCCCAGTCCCATCTGCCCAATTCTATTCCTCTCTCCTATTCCCCCACATGTATTGAAGACACTTTTGTATTAGCCAGGGCAGTGCTGTCTGCTCTAACAAATCACCTCCCCATTTCAGTGGCTTCAACTCAAAAGACTCTATTTACACAACTGTCCACTGCTAATATTCCTGGTCAGAGGAGATTCAGGGACAAAGGCCCCTGCATTTGTACCGTCTCCTGGGCCTCAAAGTTCTTGGCATTTAGCTCTTGGGGGGGGGGGCAAGGTAGAAAAGTCCCACCCGCTTCTTTACCACCTCGGCCCAGGAATGATGTGAACCACTTCTGCTCAGATTCCATTGAGGAGGCCTGAAATCATGGCCCCACATAGATACAAAAGGGGCTGAGAGGCCTTTGCTGGTGAAAGGGAGGCATGGATTTGGTGAACAGTTAGCTTCTCCACTGGAGCTCCCGTGTCTCTTTCCTCTCGCCCCAACCTGGACCATGTGAATTTGCAGGCATTACTCAGCCCACCCACTGTCGGCCGGCTGTTTCTTTCCAGCCTGCCCTGCCAACGTGTGCACGCACCACATTCACTCTGCAGACGAGCGTTTTATGCACAAGCAGAATGCAATGGACTGAGCCTAGAGAATCTGACCTCTGAGGCCTGCTTGTGTGGCAATCTATTAAACACACTCTGATAGCCAAAGCTTTCCACAAGGACTTCTAGCCCCTCTACTTATTGAAGACCTTGGTGTGACTTACAAGTTAGCTTCTTATAGGACCTCTGCAGAGTAGCTTTAATGGTCTTTGCTTTATTATCAAGAAAATGGAAGCTTGTAGAGGTTGAGTAACTTGCCCAGGAACACACATGGAACAGAATCTACACAGGGAACAGAATCTACACAGGGAACAGACTCTACACAGGGCCCACATTCCTAATATTTCTAGGGAGTTCTGCCAAAGCCTCCTTGAGGACTCTATTTGCAGAATGACTGTTAGGTAATATCACTTATTTTTAGCCAAATAAACAACTTATATAACCAAATGAGAGTCGGGAATTAATATGGCCTCTTCAGTATATTCCAAGATGACTATAGTCCAAGATGAATATCTTGGAAAGTTACAGGTTTATATTTAGAATCAAAAGACCCGACCTTGAGCCCCCCCACCCTGGGAGGGTAGCAGAATGAGCAAGAAAGTGAGAACCAGGGACCTGCTTTCAGCTTCTGGTCTTCCATTCAACAAACTCTTACTGCATAACTATGACTAAAAGCAGGGTTTCTCCACCTGGAATGTCACAGGAATCACCTGGGGCTCTTGCTAAGTCCAATTCTGATCCAGTGAGTCTGAAGAGCCTGCATTTCTAGCCAGCTTCTAGGAGATGCCAGTGTTGGCCGTGACCACACACTAGGAAGGAGGACTTACTTCTGAAAGTCTCCATTGACTCCACTCAGGAAATGTGTCACGAGGCTCCCTGTGAGCTGGGCAGTCAGGATACAGAAGGGACTTGCCTCCTGTCCTCTAGCAAGTAGGTGGCTCACACTGTCTCATAAGATTGTGTTAGCGGGCAGTACGTGCCATGACAGAGGGCAGCATGGGCTGGGCAGGAGGCAAGTGTAGAGGGCAACTGGCTGTGCCTAGGGACGTCCCCCTAAGAGTACAGTCTCAACATATGATGGGGCCTTGAGGGACAAATAGGATTTTAATAGGCGGCAACAAGAAAGCGATGCCAGGGTGCAGGTACATTGTACAGACACAGGTGCCTATAAAGTATGATGTTTCCAAAAGACCACAAGAAATTTGATGACTTTGGAACACAGCACACATGGGAAACTTTTCTGACCTTTGTTCTTGGGCAGTCCATTTCTTCTTTCTGTAGGCTGCGTTCTCCATCAGGGCTGCTATGGTACTTTCTGCTCACCACTGTATCTCCGGTGCCTGGCACATGGTAGTCATTCAGTTAATTAGCTGTTGGATGAATGGATACATGAATGAATAATTTTTGCCATAGACAGATGGTTATTAATAGTTTTGGATGAATGGATCTATAAAGTGAGTAGTTGGACTAGGTGATCAGTGGGTCCTTTGACTTCCCATCTGCCATGGTGATGACTGTCCTTACTGCAAAGGTACTGTAGTGATAAAGAGTATAGATTGCAGAGCCAGGCTGCCTGGTTCAAATCCTAGCTTTTCATGTCTGTGGGCAAGTACTCAGGCCTCAGTTTCCTTATCTGTAAAATGGAGATGATCATAATAGGCCCTATCTCATAGGCTGTTATGAGGAATGAATGAGTTAATATATGTAGAACTCTTAGGTCGGTATCAAGTCCACAGTAAATGCTCAGTGATGTTGCTGCTATTACTGCTTCAGGTGTGTGTTCACAGTTGGGAATGCTTTTAGCTGCAGTGAACAAGTAATCCAGGTAATGGTCATACTCTCTTCTGCTTCTGTGTCCTCTCTCTCTCTCTCTCTCTCTCTCTCTCTCTCTCTCTCTCTCTGTATGTCTCTCTCAACCATTCCATTATAGTGGACAATCCCAACTCTGCCATGTGCTACCAGTGGAATGGTGAGCAAGTCTCCTTGCCTCTCTGAGCCTCGGTTTGCTCATCCTCACAATGGGGAGAATAGCACCTTCCCGCTGGGTAACTGGATGGATTAACAAAGACAGTGCTCTCTGGTGCCTTGCTTTTAGAAGGCTTTCGAGGACTGCCCCTTCCTTTACTTTCCTCTCTCCTTACCCCAAACCATACACATAGAATAAAACCTCACCTCACTGAAATCCTTAGTAAATATGAGAGTTTTAGGTAATTTCTCTGCCTGAGGTCTCCCAGCTTTGGTGCCTAGTCCCATAATTTTTGAAAAATGCCTACCTCTCCTTGCCTGCAATTTTGGGGGTAGCATACATGTCATTGGGCTGGAGATAATGAGGTTTGGTGGGTTTTTTCCCCCTATGTCGATGTTCATGGCATCTGCATTGCTGTTCATTGTGAAAATACACAAATAATTCATAAAGCTTCCTTTTGCATCCCACAGCAAATTGCGCTGTTCTCAGTGACACGTTTCCTTTTGGAATGTGTTTGTGTTGCCCACACCACGCAGCTTTGCACAGGAAGCAGGGCTTTCCATTGTCCCCTTGTCCTTCCTGAGCTCCTGGGTGGACTGTCTGTGCTGAGATGTTTGTTCAATACTGAGACATTCCTCAGGCTCCCATGGCAGGCAGAGCTGAAATCTCAGACCACGGTTGATTTCTTTGGATGGTGTTGATGTGGCTCCCAGGATGGATTAAAAAATTAATACACTTTCTCCCCGCCCCATCCCTTCCCTGTTGTTTAGTATTCTATTTGCAGATGTTAAAGGATTTACCAACCTCTCCACGACCTTGTCCGCTCAGGAGCTGGTCAGGATGCTCAACGAACTCTTTGCCAGATTTGATCGACTGGCCCATGTGAGTTGAATTTAATTCCCTCCTGGTCTTTCGCAGGAGTGAGGGACTGCATGTGGAATGAGGGAAGAACAGGACTCAGCCCTCATCACCATTGTCATTCCCGTTCTGTGTCCTGTCCCCGGGCATGGACCCCTGATCTCACACGTTCTGGGAATCAATGTTAGTTATTTACAGGTCTCAGAGGGGAGGTTTGTCAGATTAATTTTCCCATTTGAGAGACAGCTGGCTGAGTGACAATTAAACCAACGTCCTTTTTATCTGCTCCCACTCCCATGTCATTATTTTCCCCTGCACGTGGCCAGGTGCCATCCAGCTGCAGCCGCAGCGATGGCTGCTTGCAGTTCCCCCGCCAACCCCAGCCATCTGGAAACAATTAGCCTGTTCTCAAGATCCAGGACTCTACGCGGCCACCATTTTGTTGGACCTAACTTACGAGTTTTGTTTTAGCCAATGAGACACCACCTTTATTTTCAGCTGGCTTGATCAGAGCTAAAACAGAAAGCAGGTTAAAAGAGATGAACGTTTGCTATCAATACAGATTCCTAGTCCTAAAGCCACTCAAGTTACGGAGGAATATCATTGTCACACTATCCTCTAGAGTGGGCTTTGGGTTCAAATAGGCATGCCTTAATTTCCTTCTTTGTAAAGTGTGTATACCTGTGCCAAGTTCACGGGCTGCTGTGAGAGTTCATAGTAAGACATTAAGTGGGAGTTCATTTTTAGAGTATCAGCATGTCCTCTTTTAAGGCTGCCTCACTCCAACAGAGAGCCATCGTATTTGCATCTGATCACCTGTCGGGGCTGTGCATGGTGGTGGTGTGTTGGGAGTGTGGGAATGACTAAAGCACACTTCCTCCCTTCCTAGAGTTAAGTCTAGTCAGGGACACCTAAAGAGGTAATCAGTGCATGATGTGATGCGTGCTAAGGTAAGTCTGGGATGCTTTGGGGATGCAAAGACTACACATGACCCTTGGATCCGAGAAGACTTCCAGGACAGAGTGACTCTTGGGCTGAGTCTTAATGAGAAAACAAAATAAAAATTCATAGGTACAAAATAGGCACAAGGATATAAAGACAGCATAGAGAATATAGTCAATAATATGGTAGTAACTGTATAATAGTCAATAATATTGTAATAACTATGTATAATGCCAGGTGGGTACAAGACTAATTGGGGGGATCACTGCATAAATTATATAAATGTCTCATCCACTAGGCTGTACACTTGAAACTAATATAAAATAATATTGAATGTCAAGTGTAAGTGGAAAAAAATAATAATATAAAAGGAGAAAACAAATGTAATAGAATACTATTCAGCCATAAAAAAGAATAAATCACTGATTCATGCAACAACGTAAGTGGATCTCAAATGCACTGTACCAAGTGAAAGAAGCCAGATGCAAAAGGCTCAATACTTTATGATTGCATTTATAAGACAGTCTTAAAAAGGCAAAATTATAAGGACAGACAAGAGATAAGTGGTTGCCAGGAGCTAGAGGTGGCAGGAGTGAATTGATGGCACGGAAGCATGGGGTGGAGTGATTTGGGGGTGATGTAGCTGTTTGTATGTGAACATGACTTTCACACTTATCAAAAGGGTAAGGTTTTTGTATATAAATTATATACCAGTTAGCAAAATGAAGAATGCAAGGAGGATTGTTTTATATAGAGGTTGGGACAAAGATAAAGATGCTACTCTCTACGTATGGAGAAACTAGAAGAAATTGAGCATTGCTGGAGGTAAAAGTGCAAGGTAAGGAGTGGTGAAGATGCGTTCGACAGACAGGCAAAGACCTGCCAAAGAACCCCATAGTAATGTGTAGTTACTGGACAACTAGTAAGTAGGACACTGACGTGGCAGAGGAGGAGGGGGAACTGAGGACTCCCCCTAACAGGGGCGTTCGGTTTACCTGCAGAGCTGGCGAAGACCGTAGACCATTTATTTTTCTTGTTGCATCAGTGGTGGTTGATGCCAGTTACACAGTTATTCTACTTCATATATATTTTTTTAATATTTCTGCTCAAAGACACTAACTCAGGTGGACACAAACGGCCCTCCAGTGAAAACCAACAGATATGACCTAGATCAATTCTTGCTGTCACTGCAAACCCCACTGACCCAAGGAAAGGGCTGCTAAGTAAAATTGAACCCAAGTTGTCCAAACAACATTTGTTGATGACAGACCACGAGTCAGGCAAAGCCTGCCCCAGCCCTCAGGAAGCTCGGAGTCTGGTAAGGGAGAGAGACAAGTCCGTAATACTGCAGGACAGTGCAATGCTAGCGGGAAGAGACACAGAGGTCCTGGGGGACAAAGAAGAGGGGAGGCAGGTGCTTGGCGGACGGGGGCAATGAGGGTGGTGGTGACCTGGCAGCATCCAGAGAAGAGGCTGTGTGCAAACTGGGTCTCAAGGAAGAGCAGGAGCTTTCCTGGCATCAGATTAGACAAGGGAGTGCCTTCTAGGTGGAGCCATGCTGCAAAGGCAGGGAAGTGTGAACAATGTGAACTTGAGCTGCTGGTTCAGGGAGCTATCAGAAGTTCAAGGTTGCTAGAGCATAAAGAGCATGGGAGATAGCGGTGAGAGCTAAGCTTGAGGAGGGAAGCAGAAACAAGCCTTGGAAGGCCTGGTGTGCCGTTTTCAGGAATGTGGACTTTGTCCTGGAGCTCGAGCTTCTCACCCTCATTACCATACCACACGGGGAGAGGGAGCCAGATGGGGGTACATGGCCCATTGATCCCCAGGGGGTGCAAGATGCTGTCGTCCACCTTCTAGGGTAGGAGTCTCATGGAACGATTTTAAAGAAAAAAAAATGAATATCAAATTAAGCACAGATATGTGATGGAGTAAAATTATTATTAATTTTGATAAGAAGATTAAACATCATAAATCACCTGGCATGTGTTATGCACCATTATGAGTGGTTTCCTTGACTTACCTACTTTAGTTCTCACAGCAAACCTACAAGGCGGGTTCTTTACTGTTCCCAGTTTTACAGAACAAGTGACTGAGACTCAAAGAAGTAAAATAATCTGCCCAGAATCCCTGGTAGGTGGTGGATCTATGATTTAGGCCGACTGAGGCCAGGTGCTCGCTGTGGACCACTAAGCAATGCAGCAGGCGTTTTAGGGGATGGAACACAAGATGTCAGAGATGTGTTGCATCTTATGCTGGAGAGTTTGAAGGCCTATATTCAGGGGACTTCACCAATGGGCTGGACTTGACTGTACTTTTTGCAAATCCCCTGAGTCTGAGTTTCCTATCAGAAGTGTAATGAAGGGTACATGAAACAATACATGTGAAGTGTCTCTGAACACTCAGTATTCTCTGAGTATTGAGAATAAGTACTCAGCACCCACTAGTGCTCAGTACTCTCAGTCTACACGCTCCCTGAACCCCACCTTGGGTGCATCAGTATGTAGTGCTTGAGGGGACCTCAGTGGAAAAGTTTGAGAAGCTCTGCAGTGAAAACAATTCTACTCAGCTTGGAATTAAAACAAAACAAAACAAAACAAAAAACTACTTTAAATAAAAAACCTACTTGAAATGTTTTTGCCCCCAATCCTAGGCATGTCACTTTCGGAGTCCCAGACAATACTTCTGTAAAATGGGGGTTGAAGTTACCCCTTTTAGCATCAAAAGTCTGTGCCTTTATAATGATTTCTGTCGCCTTGCTGTAATTCTTTGCTTTCAATTTGCATTATATGGCACATCAGAGAGAAACCACCTCCCATGTAAATGTCATGCACTGTAACTGTTTACTCTCTGCATGATCAAAATGCAGTGCAAACTTCAAAGCCTTCTAGTAAAGACCCTCTCAGTGTGATTGAATTCCTCAGTGCCCTGTGGTTCAGTCTGCTCAGAATAGAGTGTTTTTGACCCTTGGTATTGCCTTTGCAAACTTTAGTGACTTTTGGCCTTCAATTGAAAAAAAAAAAAAAGTAGTTCCTATTTGCCCCTCCCCTATCCAAATTAGGAAGGAAGAATATGTATATTGTTATATTATTATGAAGGCATTAAACTTGGAAGACAAAGAACATAGTTATAGTTATAGAATTGACCTCCATACATCTTAAATATTTTTTTTTCACTGACAAGACTGGAAGAACCTAAATTACTATAAAGAACAAATCCAACAGAATGGAAAGCTAATCAACAGATTAAAAAGAATGGGAGCGCTATTTCTGTACTGACACAGAAGGAATTTTAAGATACGTTGTTGCATGAAAAAAAGCATGTGTCAAATCTATAAACATGGCATGATAAATTTATGACTAAAGAGCATGAAAAATGGTCATATATACACACATATAAGTGTATATGTGAATGCATAGCAGCCTCCAAGGAGGGAACAGGAGACCAGGGTCCAGGGTGTGGTATGCCTGAGGGGGGGCTACCCAAGGGGACTTATCACAGTTTCATTTTTGCTAGAACAATATATTCATGTGTTAGTTCTGTAATTACAGTTAGATAAAATACTATAAAATGTTTTCTAATGCAACTCGTTAAAGTGCACAAATGGCACTAATGTTTTTGTTCTGAGAGTCTTTTCTCTTTTCATTTTTTTATTGACTTTTTTTCTGATTGCCAAACAATGCTTTTTCATTGTGTAAAATTCAAGCATCAAAGATATAGACAATACATAAAGTATGCATCCCTTAATCCTACCCCTTCTCAACGATTTAACCATCTTTGATGATTTGGTACATATATCATCTAAATTTTATCTACATTATGCTTTCATAAAGTCTCTGGCTTTTCCCCAAGATTTTTATCGTATCAAAGCCATCAAGGTGGAAGGGAAAGGATTATATTAAGACTAACTCAATAAAATTTGCAAAAAGATCCTCACCCTACTTTATTTTTCTTATTCAATATATTTTTTTCAGAGCAACCTGGCTCTCTTATCTGAACTGTTTAAAGCAATTTCTGGTAAAAAAGAAGGTGCTTGGCAGTTACTGTCAAGTCATCGCAGGAATTGATCAGAAAAATGTGCATGC